AAGCAATTTATTGGGTTTTACAATAGGAATAAATGTAATAAACAATATAGCATTCGTCTTAACATATTTTCACATTTTCTTTGGACTTCCTCACATCTCCCGCTCCCACCTTCATCATTATAACATTTTGTCAGCAATTTATCATCTTATTTAAATTCTTATATCTCTTCGATATTTCATAATCTTAAAGTTCTCATAAAGAGTTAAACTTTCACAATTTTTCTTGTTTCCTTAAAAATTTCTAAGTTAAGTGGTGCTCAGTTATTTAGTCCAGCATCTTATTCAGCATTCAATCAAATCACAATGTTTTTGTAGGTAGTTCTTAAATTTCTTCCAATCCTCCTCAATTCTCTCTTCTCCCAGGTCACGGATTCTGCCAGTCATTTCAGCCAGTTGCATATAGTCTATCAGTTGCATCTGCCATTCTTCCAGTGTGGGTAGATCTTGGGTTTTCCAATGTTTTGCGAGTAGTATCCTTGCTGCTGTTGTTGCATACATAAAAAATGTCTGGTCCTTCTTTGCCACCCCTTGGCTGACAATACCCAAAAGGAAAGCCTCTGGTTTCGAAGATACCTGCTTCTTAGGCTGCAATCCTATATGTACACTTACTTAGAAGTAAACCCTAGTGCTCTCAGTGGGGCTTATTTCTGAGTATACATGCATAGGATTGTGCTGTCAGTCATTCCAGAATACACATAGGGGAATTCCATCACTATATCCAGTAAGCTACTTTGGCGTTTCAGCTGCTTATTACCAAGTCTTGCAGAATAATCAATAACAAGACATATTGTTAAATAAAGCCAGATATAACACGTTGAATAAAAGAAAAGCACTAAGAAAACTTTAGTCATAGTTTGTATTGTGGGAAGGATATTGTTTTAGGAGAGATTTAAATCTAGGACTAAAATAATTTTTGTATTAATTTATTGTAATAATTTATGTATGTCTAGTCATCTGAATTTTATGTTGAGAAGACAAGCAGGCATTTCTGCTCCCTTGTGTTTCCTTTTACTATGGAAGGCAAAGATATATTGTAAGAAATCAGACTGCAAGCTATAAAAGTGTTATGTAACACAATGCAACTTTAAATTCTGTAATGGAATTGCATCTTGCAATACAAAATGATGTCTAGCTGTCTATATCAATATGAAAAAACCAAGCATAATTTTGAAGTTGGTTTCGTGAAAGCAATCTCTTTAGAAAAGAGATGAGGAACACACCAAAAATTCAAGGGTGTGTGTACTCTTTCATTCAAGATCATAATGGAGTTTGTGCGAAAATATCACTATTATAGTCATATAAGTTCTTCATATTAATGGTAGCATTCATATCAACTTTAGAGTCTTTTCCCATGTTCATTCATAGCCAATGCCAGGATGGAGTCATTTGGTGCACCACCCCACCAGGAACACTGGATTGCCTACAGGGCAACATTTCCAGAAAACAGGCTTTTAGATTCCTGACATAATAGCTTCTATTTAAACAATAAGAGCTGGTTTCTGAATAGGAAACATTCTGTTAAAAGTAATCAGCGGTGGCTCAGCTAATCTGCTTTGTTTTCCCTTAGTTCTCCCCTAGTTCAGGATGGATTTATTCATAACAAAACCAAACCAAACCTGCTCAATGAGTCTATTTGCATCCTGGACTACACATTGTTTGATTTACAATTTCCTTAATTTTTTGGTATAATGCACACTCCACATTGTGCACTCATAGGTTCCTGAAGCTTTCCATTTCTTCAGCTCATTCATGTGCCCTTACCACGATACCAATGTCCATGTATTCACTGATAAAACAAGAGCACACATTTTCCTGCATAAATCAGTAAGACATCACACCCAAGGAATCTTTTTTTTTTTTTAAAGCAATTTATTAGGTTTTACAATAGGAATAAATGTAATAAACAATATAGCATTCGTCTTAACATATTTTCACATTTTCTTAGGACTTCCTCACATCTCCCGCTCCCACCTTCATCATTATAACATTTTGTCAGCAATTTATCATCTTATTTAAATTCTTATATCTCTTCGATATTTCATAATCTTAAAGTTCTCATAAAGAGTTAAACTTTCACAATTTTTCTTGTTTCCTTAAAAATTTCTAAGTTAAGTGGTGCTCAGTTATTTAGTCCAGCATCTTATTCAGCATTCAATCAAATCACAATGTTTTTGTAGGTAGTTCTTAAATTTCTTCCAATCCTCCTCGATTCTCTCTTCTCCCAGGTCACGGATTCTGCCAGTCATTTCAGCCAGTTGCATATAGTCTATCAGTTGCATCTGCCATTCTTCCAGTGTGGGTAGATCTTGGGTTTTCCAATGTTTTGCAAGTAGTATCCTTGCTGCTGTTGTTGCGTACATAAAAAATGTCTGGTCCTTCTTTGCCACCCCTTGGCTGACAATACCCAAAAGGAAAGCCTCTGGTTTCTTAGTGAAAGTATATTTAAATACCTTTTTCAATTCATTGTAAATCATTTCCCAGAACGCCTTCACTTTAGGGCATGTCCACCAGAGGTGAAAGAACGTTCCTTCACACTCTTTGCATTTCCAGCACTTGTTATCAGACAGGTGGTAAATTTTTGCGAGTTTGACTGGGGTCATATACCATCTATAAATCATTTTCATTACATTTTCTTTCAAAGCATTACATGCAGTAAATTTCAATCCATTACTCCACAGCCTTTCCCAGTCCTCAAACATAATATTGTACCCAATGTCCTGTGCCCACCTTATCATAGCCGATTTAACCATTTCATCTTGTGTATTCCATTCCAACAGCAAGTTATACATCCTTGAAAGTATCTTAGTCTTTGGTTCTAACAATTCTGTTTCTAATTTCGATTTCTCCACCTGGAACCCTAGTTTCTTATCACTTTTAAAAACTTCTTTAATCTGAGCATAGTGTAACCAATCTCGCACTTTGTCTTTCATTTTCTCCAAGCTCTGCAATTTCCAATTGTCTCCATCTTTTCTAGTATTTCCCAATATTTTGGCCATTTGGCCTCCATATTGGGTCTTTTTCGGGCCTTAGCTTCCAAAGGTGAAAGCCACCTTGGTGTTTTATTTTCCAGCAAGTCTTTATATTTTGTCCAGACATTAAACAGTGATTTTCTAACAATATGGTTCTTAAAGGCCTTATTTGCTTTAACTTTGTCATACCATAAATATGCATGCCATCCAAAAACATTGTTAAACCCCTCCAAATCTAACACATCAGTGTCTTCAAGAAGTAGCCAGTCTTTTAGCCAGCAGAACGCTGCGGCTTCATAGTACAACTTTAAGTCCGGCAGGGCAAAGCCCCTCTTTGTTTTGCATCGGTTAGTATCTTAAACTTAATTCTGGGCTTTTTGCCCTGCCAGACAAACTTCGAAATATCTCTCTGCCACTTCTGAAAGCACCCCATTTTGTCCAATACCTGCAGTGTTTGAAATAAAAACAACATTCTTGGCAATACATTCATCTTAATCGCAGCAATTCGGCCTAACAAAGAAAGTTTCAATTTTGACCAACTGTCTAAGTCTCTCTTAATTTCTGTCCAACATTTTTCATAATTATCCTTAAATAGACTTAGATTTTTGCTGTTATGTTTACCCCTAGGTATTTTACTTTTTAACCACATTAAGTTCCGTCTCATTCTGAAACCGTTCTGACTCTGTCTCAGTCAGATTTTTCCCCAAAACCTTAGTTTTCTGTTTGTTTAATTTAAATCCCGCCACCCGACCAAAGTCATTAATCAATTGTAATACTCTTTTCGTACTAGGCTCTGGCTTCTGCAAGGTCAAAACCAGGTCATCTGCAAAAGCTTTTAATTTATATTGTTTCTGACCAACCTGAATTCCTTCCACCAGCTGGTCCCCTCTGATCATGTTCAATAGCACCTCCAGGACCGAGATAAATAACAAAGGGGAAATAGGGCAACCTTGTCGTGTCCCTTTTTCAATTTTGAACTCTTCTGTAACCACATTATTAACTATCAGTTTTGCTTTCTGTTCTGAATATATCGCCTCAATCCCATTCTCAAAACCCCGTCCCACTCCCATCTCTTTTAAGTTTCCCATCATAAATTTCCAAGAAATGTTATCAAAGGCCTTCTCCGCATCTATAAAAATTAAAACAGCTTTTGTATTTATGTCAGTTTGGAGAAGTTCCAAAATATCAATAATGTTCCTTGTGTTAGCAAACAAATGTCTACCTGGGAGAAAACCGGCCTGGTCCTTATGAATTACTTCATTTAAAACTTTTTTTAAATCTACTTGCCAAAATATCTGCAAATATTTTGTAATCCACATTTAAAAGGGAGATGGGACGGTAGTTCTTCAGTTGTGTCTTTTCAGTTTCTAACTTTGGTATCAATGTGATAAACGCTTCCTTCCACGAATCCGGTGCCCTCTTCCCCTCCATAATTTCATTGCTAACCTCCATCAAAGGTTGTATCAAATAGTCTTTTAGTGTCTTGTAATACTTGGAGGTCAGCCCGTCTGGCCCTGGAGATTTGCCAAGTTGCATGTTCTGAATAGCTTGTTCAATCTCCTGTCGTGTTATTTTAGAGTTCAGGATTGTCCTATTTTCTTGTGACAGTTTAGATAATCCATTTTTTGCCAAAAATTGTTTAATCTCAACTTCGTCTTGCGGCCCTTGGGTATATAACTTTTTAAAATATCTCTGGAAACACTTTCTAATGTCCACTGGATTCTGAATGTTTCTTCCATCAACCTCTAAATTTGTAACCGTGTTTAATCTTTGTCTTCTCTTCAACTGCCAAGATAGCAGTTTTCCACATTTATTCGCCGACTCAAACGTTTTTGTTTCATTAATTTGATCTTCCATTCAATTTCCTGATTTATCAATTTAGAATACTGTGTTTGATAAAGTTTAATTTCTCTCAGAGTTGGCTGTGACTTTGGATTCACTCTTAATTTCTTCTCCAAGTCTTTTATTTTATCCAAAATCTTGTCTTTTTTCTCATTTTGTGTTTTTTTCTTTACTACATTCTGTTGTATCAGAAAACCCCTCATGACAGCTTTGCTTGCGTCCCAGACGATTCTTTTTTCCACCGAATTGTTCATATTTATCTCAAAATAATCTTTCAAAACTTTTTGGGCCTTCTTGGTAATTTCCTGATCTCTAAACAAATTGTCATTCATCTTCCATCTAAAGGATCCAGTTGGTAGTAGTGTCATGTCCATCTTTACTGCGTTGTGGTCAGAACAGGTCTTTGGGCAGATTTCCACTTTTCTAACCCTAGGTGCCAGGCCTCTAGAGATCCATATTTGGTCGATTCTTGTCCAGGTCAGTTGGGCTTCAGAAAAGAATGTTCCTTCTCTACCTAGTGGGTTTTTGTTCTCCAAATGTCGATCAAGTCCATATTGTCAGTCATTTCAAAAAGGTTTTAGGTAGTCTGCCATCTTTTGTGATGTTTTGACTTTGCGACTTGTCCATGTTAGTTGACACGACCCCGTTCATGTCTCCCATCATTATGATGTTGTTGTAATCCAGATGATCCAGCATTGTCCCCTGCAACTTCTTGTAAAATTCCGATTTCCCTTCATTAGGCGCATAGATTCCTAATATCAGCAATTTCTCTCCTTGATATTGTATCTCAATAGCCAAAATCCTTCCATGTTCATCTTTAAATAGAAATTTAGGTGACAGGCTCTCTTTGGCATATATCACCACTCCTCTCTTCTTCACTTTATCCGACGAAATAAATTCCTGGCCCAATCTTTTATTTGTTAACACTTTTCTGTGGAGCCTCGTCACATGTGTTTCTTGTAAGCAAATAATGTCCAATTGTTCTTTTTTTAATATATGAAAAATTTTCTTCCTTTTCTCCGGGATATTGCAACCATTAATATTCCAGCTCAACAGTTGCAGAGACATCCTGGATCTATCTGGTTATTTCTCCTGGGGTGGTGTCTTCTCTTGATCTTCAAGTTCCCGAGGTGGAGGTATTGATGCTGGCTTTGCCTCAGGCCCGGAAGGTAGTTCAATTCCTTTATGTAGGTCCTCTCCGTGTGTAGCCAGAAATTTATCTCTCTCTTCCAATGTTCTAATTTTAACCTTTCTCGCTCTAAAGGTAAAAGACAATCCCTGGGGAAAATCCCACCTGAATGGAATTGCGTTGCTCCTTAATAGTTTAGCTAGTTCAGAATAGGCGGCTCTAAGATCCAACAGTTGTCTTGGGATATCTTTATATATCTCAATTCTTCTATCCAAAACTTCCAGTGACTTTTCGTAATGTAGGCCCAAAATCTTATCCCTTTCCTCCTTCGATCTCAATGTAATCAAACAATCCCTGGGCCTCTCCTTCTTTATAAATCTTCCAAGTCTGAAAGCTGACACAATTTTAAAGTCCTTTTCTTCCAAATTCCAGAACTTGGAAAGTTCTTTGGTCAAAAACTCAGTTAGATTTCCTTCTTCTGCCTCTTGTAATGATCTAATCCTCAGATTATTCTCACGATTTCGCAGTTCTATCATAGAAAGATAAATCTGATGTTCCCCAACTTGTTTAGTGAGTGGTCTTACCTCTTGCTCTAAATTTTCCAATTTTTGTCTGGTGTCCTCAGCCAATTTTCGATTTTCTACTGAGGCCTCCGTCAACTGTCCAATTGCTTGTGTATTCTGTCCCACCTGTGTAGTTAATTTGTTTAGACACTCTGTATTTTTATCAATCTTTGCTGATTGCGCATCTACTTTCTTGTCCAAAGCTTCCAATTTTTCAAAGATTTTGTCTAGCACAGAAGCAGATGCTCCTGAGGCCATATCTTCCAATTGTAACTGCTCTACTTCACCCTCTCCCTCTTTTGCCTGTGGCAAGGCAGCTTCTTCAAGTTGTACTTCTGAGGGCAAAGTAGGCACAGATGATCTACGTGTCTGCGAGGCTGAGGTTAGATTTGTTAGAGTTGTTTGTCTAACTCTTCCTCTTCTTCTTGTACCACTCATTCCAATGTTATCTATCAGTCAAGGTCACACTGAGTTTTTCCCACAGGAATAGAGAGTCCCAGAGCAAGCAGACAACAAGAGAATCGAAAGTAAATGTTTTTATAAAGTCACTGTTTTAATCCAATCCTCTAGAGGGAGCTTAAAATGTCTTTTCAGAGTCTGATTTAATGTCCCAGAACCTTCCAATATAAGTATTAAGCAGAGTTTAAAGGTAATCACTTTGTTGCAGACAGTGCTTATTTGTCTCCAAAAAGAATGTTTCAAATTTAAAATGTCTCAATGCCCTCAAATTGTTGCAACTTCCAGTATACAGTATCCAAGTCAAACACTGACAGCCCACTGTTACAATGCTCAAGCAGTCCTGACTCTGGGTTTCACCTTCCAATTTGTAATCCAATAAAAGGGGGAAAGTCAAGTGCATATAAGAGGTCCAAATCTTTAACTTGCTAATTTTACTTTAAATTGTAAGTTCCATAGATGCTTGGCTGTGTAGAGTTTAAAATCTCTTTCTTTCAGCCTCCACTCCTCCACTACACCCAAGGAATCTTAATGGAAGCCCTGTACTGTGCCAAATAAGCACGGGGTGCCTTTGCTCAGCGGCACTTTGGCCCATAAATTGCAGCAAAATACTGGGCAAAGTTTTGTCCAGCATCTTCTCTGTGTGATGGGCTCATGGGGAAAAGCTGTCCCAAGAGCCCTTGCTGAAGAGAGGAGGGGAAGCCTATATAAGGCTGCTGCCCCTGGAGCTCACAGCCATTTTGCTTTGAGAGCTCCTGCCCACCCACCCTTGGGTTAGAGCCTTCACTGAGCAATTTTGGGTTGCTGGTTGACAGGACTAGAAAGGAATTTTTCTCTCTCAACCTGGTTGGCACTTGGTTGGCTGTGAGCCCTTATTTCACCCTGTATAGATGCATTTCTATGTTGGGTACCAGTTTTGTCCCCCAGCACATAGTAGTTGGTAGTGTAGTAACAAAGGCCAATGTGGCTAGGCAGTGCCTTTGGTCTGGCACATGAGAGCAGCACAACCTCAAATACTATGAGTTTACATCTGCCCAGTCATGATACCACATTCTGATCACTCACTGGATGATGAAATCACCCCTAGGCTCTTCATAAACATTCATGAAGCCTCTTAAATCCCACAGAAAACCCGAATTTTGTTTTACATCTTTTATGTATGTGTACACACTCTAATAGAGACAGAAATATTCTCTCTCGCAGACCAAAGCAAAACTCCCACCGAGTTCAATGCTATCAAGATGTAACTTACTGTATACTAATGTAGGCTCCCAAGAACAAGTAAATATACTAATAAAATATTTAACACACTATTGAAGCACTCTCCGTCCTCATTTAATCTAGTTAAAAGTTTCAATGTTCAACATGTTTTGAGCTTAAGTTCTGGGACAAGACGGTAGATCAAGCAAGGCTTTCTGCAGTCCTCCTCCATTAGTCTATCTACACTTGTTTGGCGACTGAGGGGCCAGTTGCCCCTTTTCAGGAGGCTAGGAAGGTCATTATTTGTTACAGATCATTGTATTAGAGGTTCAGAAGGTAAGAATTTCTCAGGGAAACCTAAAGGAGAGAGCTGTGAAGTGAAAATGAGTGGCACAGAAAGAGCTAAATATTTATTATCCTTATACTCGTAATTGTTTCATCTAGTATCTCCTCCTTGGTGGAGCTGTCCACAATTAAGAAAACATATTTTAAAATGTTTTATATACAGATTTTTCTTGTACCCAGCAGTTACTGCATATATTTATAGATTTCAAAATAGGGTTATGGCAATCATTCTTCCACAAACTGAGGAATTTTGCTAATGGGCTTCATTTGAAATTTAGCATCATTTTTGTCAAAATAAACAGCTTTTCATTCACATCAAATTTTGCTTTTGCTGATTTTGATGTGTTGATTCTCCCCATCCTCAGCCAAGTGCTTTCAAGCCCTATAATTTAATCTTGAACTTTATGAGTTGATACAGGCACCTCATTCTCCAAACGTTAAGACATTTCAGGGGTGCCAGCACTTATTTTGTGTTTGGTTTTCATGGAAGGAATATCAATGAAGACTGTGGTGTTTTTGTGATATATGATTTTATTTACATGTGTATACAGGCTGAGTGTAATGTTACAAGTGTGTACGTGGATTCCCATGTGTGCAACCAATACTCATGTATGTTGATACACACACTGCTGAGAGATTTAGGATCTTTTGCTGCAGTTATAACACACACTTGTCTATGGATATGTGTTTTACCCTCAACTCCATGCCCACTAGTATAAGACAGGAGAGCTCACATTATAAACTCTCCAACAGATCTTGGTCCCTCATTTAATTTCTGGGTGAGTTCCCAAAGTCATAGCTTTGGTTTCTGTTCAAATCAAACCTCTGTTTCTTCCTAACTGCAAATGAACCTAGATAAAGACTAGCCCCTGTCTTCCTGTTCTCCTACCTCCCCATCATGTTTCTTCCATTCAGTGAAGGGGAAGGGGGAAAACCTGCCCTGTCCTTCTGGAAGCATCACTACCTGGTTGTTTCTATAGCAACATCCCAGTATTTTGCTAACTCTTTAGACATGTACAAAGGATGCTTAAGAGGCTGGGCTAGGGCCATGAACTTAGCAAAAAGACTAGTTTGACCACCAGGCAGTTCCTTATACAGTAGTACCTCGGCTTAAGAACAACCCTGTTTATGAACTATTCGGTTTCAGAACTCTGCAAAACCGGAAGTAGTGTCCCGGTTTGCGAACTTTACCTCGGTCTACGAACGGAAGCCAAATAGAGGAAGGGCACCGGTGGCGGGAGGCCTCATTAGGGAAAGCATGCCTCGGTTTAAGAACGGTTTCAGTTTAAGAACGGACTTCTGGAACAGATTAAGTTCGTAAACCAAGGTACCACTGTACTACAGACTCACATCTTACATAAATAAAATCACAGGCTTGGAGGAAACACAAATATATCATTCAAACAACTCCACAATTCTATAACAGTGCAGCCAATATTTTTGAAACCTAGGTTTTCTAAAGGTTTTTATTCTAAACCTACCAGCTGGTTGCCAAGAGGTACAGCAATCCATTAATTTCATGATATGAAAACACATTTGTATTTTGAATTTTCATTTCTACTTTTCTCCTGAGCCCCAAAGCTCCAGTGACTCTTATTCAAAATATATTGAATAGGTGCTTCACACATGCATTTTTCAGAGAGATGGGCCTAATATCCTCTGTAGCAGCATTAGATGTTGTAGAATTTGACCACAATGTGTCTCTTGATAGACCATCGCAAACAACCAAGTTATTAAAAAGTTACATATCTATATAAAAATTCTAACGGATCAATAATTTTTACACAAGGAAAATAAACACCTTCAGCATAAACACCTTCAGCAATGCTTCTATGCAAGCCTTTATTTAAACAAATGGGATATGTGCAAATTTAACACGAGCTTGATGGCAGCTCTCTTTCCTATTCCACAATATACACCAGCAGGCTTAGTTTGGTCAGAATCAAGTATACCAGACATTCCCAACCTTTGGCCCTCCAGATGTTTTGGCCTACAACTCCCATAATCCCTAGCTAAAAGGACCAGTGGTCAGGAATGATGGGAATTGTAGTCCAAAACAACTGGAGGGCCAAAGGTTTGGGATGCCTGAAGTAGACACTTCCAGATTTAACACTGAATACATTATTTCTGGTAAATGAGCTACCATAGCTGCTAGAGGGTCGTGAAAATTTGTGTCCTGGGCATTTTACACTTGTCTATCCAGATACTATCTGAAACTAAAGGGGAACATTGGTTGCTAGATATGAAATATATTGGCATTATTTTCAGTTCTCCTCTGCCACTATTACTCATACAGTGGTACCTCGGGTTACATACGCTTCAGGTTACAGACGCTTCAGGTTACAGACTCCACTAACCCAGAAATATTACCTCGGGTTAAGAACTTTGCTTCAGGATGAGAGCAGCAGGAGGCCCCATTAGCTAAAGTGGTGCTTCAGGTTGAGAACAG